TGGATCCTCAAGCAGAGGGGAAATGTCACTGATGCCTGGTAGATGGCTGATTGTCACCTTTTCTAACATGCCCAGGCTTCTCTGACCCCTGGCCTGTGACATCCTCTTTCTAAACTCAAATTTTCCAGACAGAAGCATGAAAACAGAGTCAAAATGCAGTTAAATTGGAACAGGTGGAGATGATTGAATACACCTATGTCCTATTCATTAAAAACATTATTTGCAGTGCACYGGTAATTTTGCTAGAATTTATCAGGAGATCCCTGATGGATTTTTTTCCATGCCAGTGCCCATTTCCAATGAATCATCACACACTTCTCCCTTTCCACATGAACATCCTGTTCATTATTTATGAGCCATGGAGAGTGGTGTGCTCAGCTCCAAGTGGCACAGTCAGGCAGAGCAGATCCCTAAGGACCAAATCTGCCTTCYCACAGCCACGCTGGCTTCAGCTGGGCTAAAATGACTTAAACMAGGCAGAATCTGCCCTGAAATGTTTGCTAGGAGATGGAAAGCTAACTGAAGATTAAYGCAGATGGGGGATATTGATATGGGAAAACAGAGGAAAAGATCACTTCAGGAAAAGTGGAAGATAGGGGTGAATGAAATGAGAGTTTGTCCAAGAAAAAGCAACACTTATTAATGCCTACATGGGTTATTATCCATGTCTGTRTATGGGTTATTATTAATGCCTATACATGGGTTATTATAAATATCTGTATATGAGTTATTATCAATGTCTGTATATGAGTTATTAATGCCAATATATGGTTTATTAACAATGCCTGTAGATGAGTTATTATTAATGCCAATATATGGGTTATTATCAATGCCTATACATGGTTTATTATCAATATCTGTACATGATTTATTATTAATGGCTGTAAATGGGTTATTATCAATGCCTATATGGGTTATTATCAATGTCTGTATATGGTTTATTATCAATGCCAATATATGATTTATTATCAATGCCTGAATATGGTTTATTATTAATGCCTGGGTTATATTCCCATGGGAAGTCAGGTGATTCCATGAGGAAAGACCACACAGGAAGGATTTGGTTGTCAGCATTTTCCCCACATGTTGATAAAGATTCCCCATTCTGGAGCTGAAGCAGCCCAGGAGGGTTGGCATTAACACCAGCTTGCAGCTTTGCAAAGTCTCAACTTGTATTTAGTGCAAAATAAATGTCATTTAAAATGCTCAAAGTCACCACCAGTGATCTCTTGCCAGTGACAAACTCCTTTCCCAAACCCATCCAGCCCTTCCTGATCCTCAGCATYGTTCCTATCTCCAGCCCACAATCTGTTCCTCTTGATCTGCTGATGCCTTGGGTGATTTCTGAACTCCTGAACTCTCCTCTCTGCAAATTAGATTTCATTAGATTTCACATTCATTTACATAAAGGCCTTGACTCTRACAATTTACTTAGGAAATGATGGAAATCCTTTTATCCCCAGGTTTGTGACAGACATGTGGGGTCAGCTTTTACCATGAGTTGTTCATGTTCTCTTTACAATAATGCTTTTTATAGGGAATATATTSTTCATTGAGTGAAGGAGGGTACATTTGGTTTAAAAGTTCGTATCATGATAATCCAGAAAGGGATCCAGGTTAGATTTACTGGGTAAGGAATGTGAGATCCTCAGTTTCTCTGCTTACCAGACCAAATTTTCATGGGGAATTTTGTGAATCTAAAAAGTTGATTTTTTTTTTCCCAATACTGAGCAAACACTGGGTGAAAGCTCATGCAGCACAACTGTTTTGAAAGAAAACTGACTTCTCCCCTCAAATGGCACGCTTAAAGAGGAAAAATAAAGCAGTTTTTCTTTCGAGATACCCACACAATTCTGACTAAAGCATCCTTAAAAGAACCCCTGTTTCAACCTGCTCACAGTAGATTCTTTGGGCTGCGATAACAGAATAAAACAAGCATTTAAAATCTCCTTAAGAATTCCTTGGGGCCCACTTTACTTCACTGTAGCCATTAATATCTAAGAGCAGAAATTTCCCTTTTAACGTGTTTTGCCCGTGGAAATTTCATCTCTGCAGGGGCAGAGATGGTTCTTAATTTTGTTGCTGTTCTTAAAAAAAAAAAAATAAAAAAAATAATTTATGCTATGAACTGTCCTGACTCTGAACCACTGCTCCATTTATCATTCCCTCCATGCTCCTGGGCCTGGGCATTTTGTCAGCACCGTGCTGAGTATCGACTTCAGGAGTGGAGCCCTAAAGCAGGAGCTGAAAAACTCCAGCTGCTGAAGGCACACCAGAAATCCTTGCAGTGCAAGAGGTAAAATTAGTTTTCAGCAATGATGCTATAATCCATCATGCAAGACAACTGCAAAATTACTTTCAATAACACTTTCACGTTCCCAATTTACACTAAAAATTCCCAGTCAATACTTGTTACTACAGTAAGTAACCCAATGCCCTGTGGAATATTATGTGCATTGTGCCTGCCAGGGGTTTAATTTTAACARATAAACTTGGAGAAAACAGTGGTTACAAATTAAAGCAGTTCTGTTAATCACTGCTTTTTCAGCAGCCTGAGTTTTGTGTGTTCATCTTCATGGGAAATTTCACTGAGTGAACTCAAATTAGGTGTGATTGGAATTGGGTTTCCCTTCTAAGGAGACAAAACAGGCAATGGGAGGTTGTGGGATGCTGACAGCTCTAGAGAGGAGGAGTTCCCACTGYAAATGCAGCACACAAATGAAATATTTGGTATTGGGAAGGTGYGGCTGGTCCCCAGACAGAAGCTGGGAATGTGGAATTTTTGGGTGAAAGAGCTGGGAAAAGCACACACACAGCCTTAACCTTCATTTCCCATCTCCGGGATGCTGCAGCAGCACGGGCAGGCAGGAAGTTCTCAGAGAATTTTTGCAAGGAATCAGGACAAGGAGTTAAAAATTGGGGCTGATCTCTTTCTTCCATTCAGAGAAGATGGCATTTCATACCGATAGAACAATGTGGAAAAAACATTCTGAGGAGAACCCTTTGCTGCCTCTTATTCTATAGATATTGTAGAGAATTGATGTGTATAATTCTGGAAGTCTCTTGATGGGACCAAAGATCTAACGAGATTTGTTAACTGTCTTACAGATTTTTTTTAAGGGAAAATCAGAGAAATATGAGTGGGATGAAAGGGGTGTGTGTTGCAGGAGATGCCCAGGAACTGTCTGATTTTTGTTTGCTGTGTACCCTCTGAAGGGTAAATTCTGGTATCTTTGAACTTTGGAACTTAACAGCAGCTTGGAATATTTGACAAAGGAAACGAGGTTTTCAGCAGAAGAGGTTTAAATTGTTATACATATTTATCATTACTTGATCTGCATTAACTTAATTAAGCTCCAGTTTGCCACAAGGTCAATATACAAACATGGAGTTATTGAGGATCACCAGTTCAAGGCTTTCCAAATGTCAATACAACAAACACTCAAGCTGTGTCAATGACCTCTTTCTGTGTCTGTGAAATACAGAAATAGTTGAATGGGAATGTTGTAACTCTTCTGTTCACWAAGAAAACACTGATGGACACTAAATCCAGTTAATGGTGCAGCATCTTGACAAACCTGATCTGATTTAATCCAGGCTGCTCCACATGTCCCTGTTGTTGCTGACAGTGGGCAGCTCCTCCTGAGCATTCTGGGTGAGCATGGTATATTCATGTGTCAAATGTAATTTCATTAATCTGTTGCACCTTCAGACATAAAACAGACTTTGAAGTTCCAAATCCATTTGATAAAGTGATGACCTAAAGAGGTTTCTCACATTCCTGAGCTCACCAYGCAGACCTGGAATTCCTGCCCATCACAAAGCAGTTATGATCCTCTTGTTTCAGAATCCCTAAATGTGTTGTTTGACACTGAAAGAACCCAGCTGCCACCAGAGGAAATGAAAAGAAACTTACTCTTATACGTTATTCTTGTTATGGTGTCTCTGTTAAGCATACGATTTAGAAATGGATTTGATGATTCAGATACCTACAGAAGAGAAAATGCACAAGGTCAGAATCTTCTCACAAACATTTCCTTGCCAGAACTGCAGCTCTTCCACGTGTGGACACACACGCCCACTCTCTCTCCTGATACTCCTCCAATGGGGTTCTGCCTTTTTTTTTCACTGTTGTGGGAGAAGGAAATAATTACTTGGTTGTTTGTCTAATGAAGCTTGATAGAAAATTGGTAAAATAAATAAAAAATAGGGATAGGAAAACAGGGTGAATGGAAATTCATGCCTAAGCACAGGTTTCTTCTCCAAGAGCTTTGATGGGATTTGCAGGTGGTTGATACAATTAGGCAGGATTTTCTTTAGTATTCTATTATTTTRTTTACTGATAAAGATGATTTCCTTGAACCAGGCCATTTTAATTGCAAATAGAAGCTCTCTTCCTCTGGTTTATATCTGGGTAACACAGTTTAGGTGGAACTTCTCAAGTTTCAATTTCTGCCCCCTTGTTGCCTCTTTCCTGTTGCTCAGCAGCCTTGGACACCTCCCTGCAGGCATTTCTAAATATTGACAATATTCCCTCTGCCTTCCCTTTAATTTTTCCCTTTTTCATGAATTCAAGTTAGCTTGTTGGGTCCTAACACAATACTTTTTGGATGGAAAAATAAAGATAGCCTAAATATCTTCCTTAAATATTTGACCTGTGTGAAAATTGCCCTTTTACATCTAATTGTTCAGTATGCTCTGTGAAGTGCATGTTTTAATTCTGAGGTTAATGCTTTGTTAGGAGCTTTATGAAATGGGATTAGACTACGAAGGGGAACTAAAAATATCCCATACCCAAGGATGAGGTGAATTTCAGTGTGGCTCAGAAATACTCACTTATTTAGATTGATGAAACAAAAGCATAATGGCAGAATATTGATAACATTTAAAAGTGACAAATACATACAATTTCTACCATATAAAATGAGAGAAAAGGTTTCTCCAGTGTAGTTAAAGAAGTTGGAGAAAATAATGAAATCCTGAGTCCAGTCCTAGATCGCTATAAATTATAGACCTAACCATGCACCTTGAATGGAACAGGATGCAGACTAAATAAAATATTCACATGTCTGTGCAGCTCTGAGATATGGAAGGTATTAGAAGTTATACTTTTAATGATCTTTCAGTTTTGATAGTTCAGGATGTTTTAAATAACACCGGGAGAAAAACTGATTTTGCTGGCTTTGACACATCAGCATGACATGCCCTCTTTCCCAGGGCCTAAACCTACCAGGAGAGTTTAGATGGATAAATTTAATGAAGAAACACCAAATCTGCAAAGCTGGACACTTCTGTCACAACCATCAAAGCATTATGAGTGATGTTTATGATGTCAGGGTTTTTTTTTCTCCCCCTCCCTTATCCCTTTTAATTCCCCTTACATTGTGAAAGCTTTGGASCAGAGATGCTGTGCTCAGTTCAGGATGGAGCTGTCTCTGGATTGCACATCAGAGCCTCTGGCCATTGCTGTGGCATAATGAGGAGCCCAGCTCCTGAATTACAGTGCAGGGGAAAGTTTGTCTTTTTGAATATTGGGAATGTGGAGAATACTTACTTTCATAAATATGGAAACTACCACCAAGCCGTTGGGACTCTTTGCTGCTTCTGTGATGTTTGTGTAGAGCTCGTGGTTATAGTGGATCAGCTGAACCTGGAAAAGGATGAAGGGAGAGATTACCATTAACCATGGTTATAGGGGATCAGTGGAACCTAAAAAAGGATGAAAGATTGCAATTAACTATGGTTATAGGGGATCACTGAACCTGGAAAAGGATGAAGATCAATATTAACCTGGTTATAGAGGATCAGCTCAACCTGGAAAAGGTGAAGGGAAAGATTACAATTAACCTTGGTTATAGGGGATCAGCTCAGCCTAGGAAAGTGTGGAGGTATTTACAATTAGCCATGGTTATAGGGGTCAGCTAAACTTTAAAAAGGGGTGAAAGATTGCAATTAACCATGGTTATAGGGGATCAGCTCAATGTGGAAAAGGATGGAGGGAAGGATCACAATTAGCCAGTGGCAAATCAGCCCACACCACATTTGCAAACACTCCCCACACCCCTGGTTTTGGATCAGGATCCCATCCCTGCTCTGGGTACCTSGAGCAGGGCAATTTTTCTGTGATTGTAAGGATTTCAGTCACCAGCTGGCACAGCCCCAGCATGTTTTCCCCTGGACTGGGTGACAGGGAATTCACCCCATCCAGGCAGGGGTTGCACTGCAGGGCTGCCATCATTTCCCTGCTCCAGCAGCACTCACCACAGGCACCACATCATCTGTGCTCTGCAGCCCCAAGCCGAGCTCAGAGCAGCCAGGGCTTGAAATATTTGAAAAAAACATCTAGGAAATGGGTTTGGAGCTGCTCAAACCACCATCAGCACAATTCAAAACGCTGCTATTCCCTAGCCCCAGGTCCTGCAAACTTGGTTCCAAAGGCTCCTGCAGTCACTGCAGTAATTCAGCACTCTCTGTATTATTGGTAACCAGGTTCTCCTCAGCTCCTGCAGCTTTCCTTCTGCTTTTTAGCTTTATGATCTCCTGGAATTTTTTAATTATGAAGGCACAGTGCCTCTCTCTCCCTGCCTATGTAAATGTCTTACCCACAACCTTGATATTTGATTTGTCTGGGATCACCAGACACTGTTCACACTGCAATTTGTAGCTTTTTTTCAAGGAAAGATGAACAAATTTAATGAACTCCTGTGGCAGTTAAGTACTTCTGAACAGATGAGAGGCTAGTCAGCTTTATTTAGCCTAAAGATCTTTCAGATGTCAATTAGAAAGGGAAGGKTTTTGTTCTGGCATTGTCAGAACTGCAGCAGCCTGATGTTCACATTTAAAAACCAGGTCTGTCTTTCATGTGCTGATAATTCTAAAGATAAAATTTTCTAAATTTTCTAATTCTAAAGGGAAAATTTTCCAGAGAAATTTCTGGACTTGCTGGGAACAAGATCAGTATTAACTTGGTTTATATCTGATAATGTTTGTAACAAATGGTCCAAGACTAAGATTGCCAGTAGAGAAACTTCATTATAATGTGTTGCTCCCAAAAAAATAAGGTGAGAGTCAGAAGCACAGCTAWGAAGTGTTAATTTCAATTACTTCTGTCCTGTCTCAGTTGGGAATTATTAGCTGTTTTTTGCAGTCTGCCCAGCTGGCATTTTTTAAAGCAGGCAAACAAACTAAATTGCAGTGAAAAAGTAAAAATGTTTGAGGAGCCAACGGAGCCCTCTACCAAATTGTGACAGGCAGAAAGCAGGACAAATGAAGGTTTTGGAAAGAATTAATGAGAGCATCCTCTCCCCAGCACACAGGGGTTAGAATGSTCATTAGTTATCACTTTATGGTCCTGCTGAACTCTGATAACATCACAGTTCTGGGGACCGTGCACTCACTGAAAATTTTAGGCCTGGTCACGTATTTTTCTTTTTATATAMAACTCTGCACTCTGGCAGCCAAAGTAACTTGTGAATTACCAMGGAAATAAGTGATGAAATCTGCCTTAGACTAGACCTCCTTCTGTACAAAGTCCCAGAATAACAATGGATTAGGTGAACTCATTTTATATAACAAACCAAGATGCTGAGTGCAGGAATGGATAACAGCAAAGACCAAATTCTCCTTTCATCCAGGAGAGCCCTGAATGAACATCAAACTCTTGTTCTGACTGCTGTGACTTATGGAAATAAAACCTCTCAAGTAGATACAACCACATACAGAATATTTGTCCCAAACAAAGATTTCAGTACTGAATGATTTCTTTTTTTTTCCTTCTCAAACCTGTCATTTTCTCTGTGTTGGAGTTGTATCCTTCCTTCCTGCACCCATATTAATTTTAAAGCTGTTTCCATGGTACCATGGTTAAATTAATTTTATCCAGGTTTATTTTTTTTTATAAAAAAAAGGTTGACCATCTAAGGAGACATCATTTCCAAAGCTTCTCATATGACACAGGTTAATTTAGAAAGACACGAATAAAACATAGAATGCATAAAAAATTCCCTATTAAATTCCCTTTGAGCAGAATTTCTTTAAGTTGCCTGAAATACCTGTAAGTTTATGGTCAATATATAACATTACTGGAATCTTCCATGAAGGTGACGCCATACGTGACTCAAATTGCTCACATATGAAAATCTCACTTTTCAAAGGATGACACTGAATTAAAAGCAAATCACAACAAGAGCAGACTTACAACGCTGAAAGCACCCTTTGAATCTGGTTTGGGTTTCAGGGCTCAAACACAATACAGAATCTTGTTAAAAACTATTGATTTTCTTCATAAGATTCCCCCTTTTAAGATTAATTTGCCACAGAATAGCCCTTTGTTTTCCTCCAGCTACAGAAGTTCCATTTTGTAGGAAGAAGAAGAGAATTAAGATTAATTACTCTCTTTTAGCTGATGAAAAACCAGAATGTGGTTCCCATCACMCAAAAACGTGCATTGGACCAGAACCAGAACTTTTCAGCCTCTCAAGACTGTCCATGCTCTGCAGCAGCAGGAAATGGAGAGAATTTAGAATATTGCAGTACTCCACACACATTTTTTCCACAGTCCTGTTGGGAGTAATAGAATCCCCTTTTTTCAGAGTTATAATTGAGTGCATAAACATTTCTGATTTGTAAATGACAAGGGAGCCAAAGCATGAAGTAAATGGCAGCAGGGAACAGCTCATCTGTAACCATAATATTTGTATTATGCTGCTCTGCCTGATAAACKGTTGTGATACCTGAGAGCAAGCACAAAGTATGTTTCCAGCACAGCAGGGAACAAAAGCAAATGAAATTGCTCAGGAAGGCAGGTTAAATGTTTGTTTTGATTCAGAGTTCCTGGTAGAAAATGTCTAAGATATCATTAAGGAAAAAGAAAAAAAAAAAAAAAAAAA